TACATGCGTAAAGTATGTGACATTATGCCTTCAATATCTCAAAAATTATCTGTGGACAAAATTCATGAAGCCTGTAGACTGTGATTTCTATACATGAAAGAAATAGATTTCCCTCTAAGCAGTGAATCAGCTAATAAGGAACTGTTCAGTATCCTCTGATTCCTGACCCTTTTACCCTTTATGGCCTTTTTTCTATTCTTAACCATTCATTGAGTAGTTGTGTATTCTTGTAAAAGGCAAAATCAATTTACATGCAATCAGGTATGGACACAAGAAAAGCTTGTGATCTTGATTTCAGGACTCACAGATACCCAACAGTCACACGATGATTATAGTTCACTCAATATTTTTGTCAGTAGTGTGGCTATGCTACAAAATAGCATAGCTCTTTGCTTTGGTACTACAAGATTTTAAATGTTATAACAAATGAAAGAAAGTAAATATATTTGAAGGCTGGTGTCAAAAACCATCAGCTATACGTATAAAAGCCGTTGTGCAGTTTCTGAAATGTAGTTTATTGCTGTAAATATGTACAATTTATGTCCGCTTGTTTATTCCTAAAACACAAATAAAACTTTTTTACTAAAAATGCCTATATAAAGCTTACTTTATACTAAGTTGAAAAACATGCACAATTTCAAGCATATCTTTTTACAATCCTTAAAAATACTTAGAATTCTTTCATTTGAATGCTTTCATTATAAAATTCAATATAAAGAGAAGGCCTTTAAATTGGAAGAATCTCTTTGCAACTTATCCAACAATTAGGGGAAAATACCAGCACTTTTCCAGAAGTTTATTCATGTGCCACACTGATTTTTTTTTTTTCTTTTTAGTATTCTTTAGGGTATCATGCCTTACAAATACTTCAAAGTATGTATATATTGGGAGGAAAAGAAATGGTATTTCCTTGTATTCATTCACAAATGGTGCCTAAACTGAATTCTAATAGTGTCCACTTGTGAGGTGCATCATGTAGATTTTCTTTGAAAATCTCCACTGTAAATGTGAGATTTACAGTTGGCCTATGTGTCACCTTTCCTAATTTGAAGATCTCCAACTTCCAAACTCAATTTCTCCCTTCAGAAAAAAAAATGTCGATCAGACTAAGAATATAAAAAATATGATCATCAAACTAAGGGTATAATCTTTAGTACTTAATCCATTAAGTATGGGTTATAGTAGAATAGCTTTTCAGTCTACATTCCAGCGTAGGGACACTTTACTGTCGAGGCCAGCAAAATAACTGAGAAGCACTTTATCAACAGAGCCCTGGATCTTGCAGACATCTTACAATGCAATGACTTCTCTTCCCAAGACTATGTTATTACAATGGGAGAAATATAAAACCAACTTATTTAAATTACAAAAAACAAGTATATATGTACATGTTTAGAATTTGCTATAAGAATTACAGATAATAAGAATCTCACTATCAGCCAATACCTTCTTACACATAGAAAAGAGCTCATTAATGCAGTAAGTAATATCAGTAAGTAATATCAACCATGTAAGTCAATGGGAAAAGGTGAGAAGGTAAAAATATCAAATAAATCTCAGCCCCAGAGAAAGTTACAATTTAGAGGGGAAAGACAAATTCAATAAATGAGTTTAGAGCAAACCAGCATATACATATATTCACAAAAACTACAGTATGACAGTCCAGGCTAGGAATGGGTAAAAGAGATAAGCCTCTCTTGCAAGACTGCCATATGATGACACACCAAGAAAACGTTCCTAGGATGCCCAGGGAGGTGTCTGTGCACACTATGTATCTGTCATCACTAGTATCAGTTAAGCACATCACCAGAATTACTACATGACTACAAGTGCATTCACTTTCTCTTCCTTAGTTAACCTCCCTACATTATTTTTTATTGCTTTTCTCATAAATTTTGTTCTTATTCTTGTCATAGAAGAATGTCTGTCAAAATTGAGAAGTTAGTTTTGTAATGTGTTCTATTCCATACCTTTCAGAAATTCCACTATGTTGCTAAAAGCAATTTTAAGGCCTTTGCTAAAATAAGTATATAATTAGGAAGCACTATGTACCAGTAACTAACCCTTTCAGAAAAAAAGAAACAAAACCTATCCACATCCACTATAAATGCTCAACCCATTCTTCCATCCATACCCTACTCATCTCTGGTGACTTCGTTTCAGTTTTGAATTTCCACTAGTTTATTTTTATTTTGTCCATTTATCTATTTGCTTTCCTTGTGGTGCACATAAAATGTGGAAACATCCAGTATTTGTCTTTATCTTTTTATTTTTGTTTCAAATAATACAGAGTTCCTTTCATTTGGCTGAAAATGGTAAAATTTCATCTTTACTTATAGCTGAATAAAAGCCCATCATGTATAACTACCACATTTTCTTTATCCAGTCATGTGCCGGCAGGCATGGAAGTTGTTTCCATAGTGCAGATATTGTAAATTGTACTGTCACAAATATTGTGGTTCATGTAACCCTTAAGAGTCAATGATTTCAGAGCCTCCCTGGTGGCCTACAGTTTAAGTCTCAGCACTATGACTTCTAAGGCTGAGTTTGATCCCAGGCCAGGGAACTAAGTGACATATGGCAGACCTCTACTCTCTTGCCCACTGCTCCCCTTAGCCATGTATTTCATTAGAGTAGCTTCCTGCTCCCTACTGTCTAGTGAATCCTCTCATCCCCTGCCTTTCTCTGGCCTACACCCCAAATCTTCTTTACACAAATAAATAAATCCTTGATTTGCATCTTCCTAGCAAGCAATGATGGATAGTTTTTTAAATATCTTTGGCCATCTATATATCCTCTTTGTGTCTAATCAGATATTCTGCTCATTTTTTCAACTGGATTTTCTGCCATTAAATTGGATGAGTTCTTTATATATTTGGATACTAACCCCTTACTGATATTTGATGCGCAAATCCTGCCATTCAGTAGGCTGTTGAAGAGTTTGTTGACATTTTCTTTTGCTATGCTAAAGATTTTTAATTAGCCCATCCTTTATTTTTGTTTTCATTTCCTTTGCCACTGGGGTTGAGCCCCAAAGACATCACTATCATTGATGTCACTGAACATATCACCCATATTTTCTAATATGTATTTTGTGGTTTTAGGCCTTACATGTGAGTTTTTAGGCCTTACACCTAAGTTTTTGAATTTATATTTGTGTATAAAGTTAGAAAGTAGTAATTGTTCAATTCTTCTATTAAAAAATTAAAATCTATTTATGGGGGGAGGGGGAAGACAAGCTAGCCACAAATTGATCAAAGACATTTACAAGGCATATATCTGAAAAAGATCAGACTATATATCCAATGTTCAAAACTCAGTAATGAGCGAAGTCCAGTTAAAAAATGAGCAACAGATTTGGACACTACACCAATGACATACAGATGGCAAATACATACATGAAAAGATGCTCTACACCATTAGTCATTTGGAAAATGAAAATTATTCAAATCATAATGAGATTCTGCTACATATCTATTTGTTAAAATTAAAATTCAGATTTGCTAAAATTAAAAAGTTCCAGATGCAGAAGTGGGAAGTTCACAAGACTCTGGCAGGAATGTAAAAATGGCAGAATCACTTTGGCATGTTTGCAGTTTATTGAAAAGATAAACATAAACCTACCACAACCTCCCTGCTGGCTCAAGTCTCAACACTAAGAAGCTATAGTTAGCCACTGTAGCTCAAGTTCAATCCCAGTCAGGGAAGTGACCTACATGGAGCAGCAGACCTCTCCTGTTCGCCTGCCGTTCCCCTCAGTAGTGATTATAGTCAATCCACCAATTCTGCTCCCCACTTGGCTCTGGTGAATCTTCTTGCCACCCCACCCCTGTATCTCTGGTCTGTATGTCAGTTCTTGTAAACATAATGAATAAATCTTTAAAAATAAATAAATAAACCTATCATAAGATCCAGCCAATTCACTCCTAAGCATTTACTCAAAAGAACATGTATGTCCATACAAAGGCATATATACAAGCTTCACAGCAGCTTCTATACCTTGTTAAGTACAACTTTTAAAAGCCAAAATATCCACTAACAGGTGAATAAACAAATTTGATAGAACTCTACAACAGAAGGTTTCTACCAAATAAAAAGTTATGAATCATTGATGTATGTAATGACATGGAAGAAACACAAAATGCTTTAAGAAATCAATTCACACACAAAAAGGGTGCATATTGTATATACCATTTCTGTCTGGAGAATGTGAACTAATCTAGTGGCAGGAAGATCATTGGCTGTCTGGGAAAGGGAAGGGATAAGGGAAAGGGTATAGACAGGGATATAAAGGAACAGGATACTTTCTAGAGATGATATAGTAATATAATAACCATCTTAATTGAGGTGGTGCTTTCCATAGAGGTGTGAAAGTAAAAATATATCATTTTAATATGTATACTTTACATGCAATTTATAGTGTATTAGATTTCACTACAACATGTGGTGAAGGAAAAATAAGTAAAAAGGAATTAAATATGCTAAAGGAGTAACAACATGTGGTGAAGGAAAAATAAGTAAAGGGAGAGTATTTCCTTCATCCACAGAGGGATGAAATTCTGCAGGAACATCACAAGCTGGGTATTACTTAAATTGCTGGTCTGCCAACTGTCACGAGTACACAAAACACAAGAAACTTGCACAAGAAGGTTAAGTCAACAACTACCTCACTAAGCACACTATTTAGTTCAGCTGGCACCATTTTTATAACCAAAATATCTTAGTACATTAACATTTTAGCATTATTGCCTCATCTAATCACCAACCTCAAAAAAAAAAGTTCATAAACAAGCATTATTCCAAAAACACATACTGAGGAGCGCCCATAGACCACCCTCTATCTTCATCCTTACAGTTAGGATGGTATTATTGCTCTAGATAGTCAATAACAGCCTGATGGCTAGTAAGCTACAGCTTGCAAAGGAGCAGGTATTAATATTAATTAACATTAATTAATATTACTGTGTTTTGTGGAAAGTCATCCAAAATGAAACAATATATGAAAGTGAAATAACATTTATTTGTTAAGAATGCTTGTTTTTAGTTAACTAAAATGAAAAATGTTTTTTTCCAAAGTGAAGTTGTTAATATCCAAAATTGTTACATTCAATTCAGTATTAAGAGTTTATAACAAAAGTGGGCCTACATATAGTCTTAGCAATCTGAGTAGCAATATACACTGTACAACAATATCTACTCTTTTTTGCCACAGTATATTCACCCAATCAGACATAGAAAGGCAGAAAAAACCAATGTTTTCATTTTTCTTGTTTCTAATGTAAAACTTTAATTTCCACAATTCTAAACTCAAAAGTTTTCATGCAAATTTTCTTCTTTTTCTTGTCTAAAGAGCTCTTTCTCTAAGAAATGTTATATGTTATACTCTTTCCTTTGAAATATAAGATTAAGATTTAGAATCTCCTGAGATATATATGCTGCTTATATATTCTTTAAGTTATTTTTAATTTTCACAAATTAACCACATACATCCATAGTATACATCCTTGCTGCTCACATACTTTCTATCAGCAATATTTACGTATATTTGTGCTCTATATGATCACATTACTTTAAAGTCTATTTTTAGCATTTAATAAAACTATAAACATTTCTGAAATAATGAGGCAAAAGTTATGAAAATATAAACTGCTACTATAGCTTTTTTAGCTTTCATTTTCTATGCAGTTAGTGTCAACCATGTGATTACCAGTTCCAAGAGAAGCAGATAAGTTTAATCTTTGTAATCTCCATGCTGCTTTCTCAGATTGGTATACAAGTATATCCCCTGTTTTCAGATAACAGTTTCACTCTGCATTCAGTTGCAGCAGTAGAATCTGACAGTGTTGATATTCCTAATTTCCAGTTATTTCAACTGCAGGACCACCTTAAAACACAAAAGTGGGAGAACAGATTATACCAGAACGATGCCAATACCCAAATGAAAGAGAGCATGAAGAATTGATAACAAGCACAGTAACTGATGGCACGTGTCTGCCAAGGTTTACAGTTCAGAATCATTTAACAACACTCCAATTTAGACATTTAGCCATACTGCAAAGGCTGAAACCAGTATACCAGCGTGGTGACTGGGCAGGTAGACTAGTCATCAAAGCTTCAAAATGGCTGAGAGCAGGGTATGGAAGGAAACTGAAGTATACCAGGATTTTTAAATGGTAGAGAGCTAAGAAAATTGGTTAATGATAAGAGAGTCTGGTAAGAATAACTGAATAACTCTATTACCATGGAGTTTAGCTCACTAGAAAAAATGTTGAGCAATAAAGAAAGGAATGTAGCTATACAAAGATAACTACTTTTATTCTATTTCAAATATTATTTTTCTCATTAATTGTACACTAGAAAGTTGCTGTTATACTACCATTTATGCAGTTTCTATCCATTCATAAATTCTATCTTGTGGTAATTTGATTTTGTTATAATAACTACAAGTCATATATAATATCCCATACTAATGAGGATTATAAAAGCAACTTTGTTTTGTATTATCTGTTAGGGAAATTTTTTCTCTAAGATTATAACTATTTTTCAACTAAACCTTTCAGTATCACTAATCTTTTACAGTCCTTGGTTCAAAAATTGATTTTTATCATTAATAAGCAGTAGAGAAAAACAATCTAGCTATAACTGCACTTTTAACCTTTTAAAAGAACAAAAAACTTACTTAAAAAACAAATGCTCAGCCTTCCCTGGTGGCACAGCGGGTTAAAACACAGCACTGAGAATCTAAAGCTGCTTCCACATGAGTTCAATTCCCGCCTGCCCCGGAGGTGACCACATGGCGTGGCAGACCTCTCCTGACCCGCCCGCTGCTCCCCTCAGCAGTGTACTTCGTTGATCTGCCTGTTCTGTTCCCCACTCTGTCTCTGGTGAATCCTCTCGCCGCCCCTGAGCCTCGGGACTGTACCCCAGTTCTGTATACACAAATTAATAAATTTTTTTAAAAAAGTGCTTAAAACTAAGCAAAATTAGAAGTTATAATTGACTTAAAACTGAACTTGCAGAATATATAAAAAAAGTATTTGTGTGTTTCAGAAACAAAAAATATTAAAAATGAATTATGAGTTTTTCGTATATTACCGTAAGGGTCTCAAAATATAAAGCAAAATTAAAATACCTTATTAGCTGCTTCCAAGGAACTTATTAGATTCTGCAGCTCTTCTTTATTCATTTCAACAGAATATGATTTCACGTCACCATTTTCTTTTATGTCTAGATGAAGGTTTAAAAGTGGCATTTGTAATGCAGCAATCTTGTCACTTGAAATTGCAAACTGTTTAAAATTAGGAAAAAAGTAACAGTAAATTGTTCAAGAGTATATTAAATATGCATCAGAGCTTATTAATAATACATTTTTAGAAAGAAGTACTCTGGTTTGCTATCAAACACAGAAAAAGGTTAAAGAAGTTAAACCCAGGGGCTTTCCTGGTGACACAAGGGGTTAAAGTCTCGGCACTATGAGGCTCTCCCCACTCTGGCTTTGGTGAATCCTCTCATCCTCCACACCTCTAGCTTAAACCCCAGTTCTCGTATGTATAAATTAAAAAAAAAATTTAAACAAAGAAATTAAATCCATGTTAAACAAACAGTATTTGAACAACAGTATGAAAAGGGAGAGTGAATGAAAGTGAGAAAGTAGGTTAGGGGAAAAGACAGCCAGTTTGCAATTTATGGCAGAAGCAGAAATCTAGAGCAAAGTGACAGCTGGAAAGTACTGAACTGGATTAATGCAGCAAGAAACAGATTTCCTAAGAAATATAAAGACACAAAGAGAATTAAAGTTTACATACTAAGATAAAACCAGAAACTTGGGGAAATTAAGAAGTTTAAGTCAAGATCAGCTAACTCTCTGCTAAACTATTAACATATTACAAGATGCCACCTTCAAGTAGAGTCATTCAACATATTTACCTCACTTCCTATTCCTATTCCTAAGAGAATCCTGGAGGAAAAGAATCAAGTATTTATGATACTACATTTTTTGAAACAAGCACCATGATTTCATTGGCAAACAGCAAAGGAAAACCCAATTTACCTTGAATCTGAGTCAGAAAATCCCAAAATAACTGAATCTCTGGTGTGCTACCATTTGCAAAAATTTATTTGGGTAATGGCAAGGGTCTTCTTAACTACCAAGCAACTTCAATGGATCTCTTGTGGTGTATTCACTATACTCAAATTAATACTCAAATAGCCCCTTCAGTTTCTCTCAAAAAAAAAAAAAAGGGACTCAAAACATTGAAAGTATGAAAGCAACAAGGGCTGTCTACTTTATTGATAATTCGCAGTATTTCCAAAAAGTGGTTACTCATTTTGTGTTGGAATACCACCAATAATATACACACCACTGTAAAACAGGATTAAAATTATTTTCAAATACTCATAGTTGCCAAAAAGTTCTTCCCTGAGTTAATTCAAACCCATCTTCATTGCAAATCATATACTTTGGCACTTGGTCTTTATCTTCTGAAAACCAGAGCACATACTCTGCCATCCTAAGATTTTAGTCATGTAAAGAAAACTGTTGTACTTCTACAAAGTATTTTGCTATTCTGGTTACATGATCATGATCTCAAGTATTTCCACGCAACTTCAAGTGCCATAATTTTGAGTTCCTAGTTACTCTTTTCTGGATGATATCAATTTCTTTAGGTAATTCTTCAAGTATGCAACTAAAAGGATTAAACTAAATTAAGTAAAGATGTTTTTTAAGATTTACTTTATTTATGCATACAAGAAGTTGGGGGTAAGCCAGAGGTGCAGTGGGTAAGAGGATTCACTACAGACAGGGTGCAGAACAGGCAGATCCACTGAATTACACTGCTGAAGGGAATAGCTGATGAGAAAGGAGAGGTCTGCTGGCCATATAGGTTAGGTTTCTGACCAGGGATTGAACTCAAGATGAAGTGTCTGGCAATAGCTTGGTGTCACATGACTTAAACCCTGTACCACCAGAGAGGCCCAACTAAAGATTTTTTTTTTAAAGATTAATTTATTTGTGCATACAGAACTGGGGTACAGGCCAGAGGCTCAGGGGCGGCGAGAGGCTTCACCAGAGACAAAGTGGGGAACAGAACAGGCAGTACGAAGTACACTGCTGCGGGGAGCAGCGGACGGTCAGGAGAGGTCTGCCACGCCATGTGGTCACCTCCGGGGCAGGCGGGAATCGAACTCATG